TCTCTCTGAGCTGTAACGATGCCAAGATCTCAAAGACTCTTCTTATGCATCTGAAGTTGTCCCTACACTGTAAACTTTACAGGGGATGAGAGTCAACGCCAACCATTCCAACCCCTAATAAAGTACTGTATTATCTTCACCTGTTCTATGTTTAATTTGCCTCAACAATCTAATGGGGCCCCCTTCCGCCTGGGCTGCTATGGCTATAGTTACTTCACTGGCTACCACTTTAGTCCTTCCCAATGCCTGTACTGCCAGGTGGGATAATATACCTTTGTTGAACTCCCTGAAAGTACATCAGCAAAAACAAAGCTCTTGTTGTAGGGAATGTGTGTACTTTGACTTCCAGTCCTGGGAAAAACCGTGGGCCAATGACACGCAGAGGAAATTACATTTCTGTATACAGCACATGCACAGTGTTGCAAAGGTTACAAATAAGTAACATTTGAATTGTTCTAATAGCTTTACAAATAGGTGTCTCCAGATTGAAATGGAAAATTCTTTATTAATAACAAGTTACAATATGCATTGAGAAGCAGTTTATTTCGGTTATATCTATTTTCAAGTGAAAGTGGCGTTTTCCTTTAAAGTCCTCACCTCTTAGAATCCGTTGCCCCCAGAAAATATTTGATAGGTTCTATTAAGCCAGACACAAATTGGTTTTGCTCAGAAAACTTCTGAGTGCTCAGGAGGAGGCCGATTGTGACTCGTCTCCCAACAGATTGTCATACAGAGCTGTTACCAACCTTCTGTTGTCTAATTGATGTTCCACTTTTCGCTCTAATTCTGCACATGGTAGAGATTTCTGGAAATACACTGGAGAACAGTTACCTATTCCTAAGCATAGGTGTCTCTGCAATGGTAATGCTTTACTCCATGAACCGATACAAGTTTGCATTTGATGCATGTTCCTCTGGATATCGGAGGATGTGCAGGCATGTCAAATAAATAAAATGCACAGGCATATATATCTTACTGTCACTGCCCTGTACAAGGCTCATGCTAGGAATGCATGAAACATGTATCTGCATTGAGTTTGTATGTGCTCCACATACTGGCAGAGACAGGATAAAGCAGAATGGGGCCCAAAGCAAAGTAGCAGTTTCGGTCTCCCCTTTCTTTGCGATTGACATTGATAAGTAATGCAATAACCTCAGACAGTCCGCCTCATTTGGATTCTCTGTTTTGGCATGGTCTGCCACCAACATCCTCCCCTTGTAAATAAAGCTGGTGGGTGCACAGCTTGTTTGCTACCCTTCTGGTTTACTGCAAGAGTATGACGATTGTAAGATGGGTTCCCTAGACATCCACTGGGCTCTAGGCTGCTGCCTGGGTTGCCTTGTGGCAAGTCAACAGCAGAGCGAAGAAAAGGTAGGTATGCTCTACCAGGGGAGGAAGCATTCACGTGAACGGCAGAGTTAAGAAAATTGGGTATGTGCTACCAGGGAAGGAGGCATTCAAGTAAACCTTTTGCATAGGTAAAGCACAGGTTTGATTTTAGGAAGTCCTCTAGTATAATCAAAAGGAGAATGTTCAAAAAAGGAGAAGCTGCTGAAATTACTATATATATATAACCAATCAACAATTTTTCCCTTCTGATGTGAGACTGGCTAATGTGCTGCCCAGTAGACAGCACCCCCAGAAAGTATGTACATTTGTTCACCTCTTCTACTAAAGGTTAACAGACAGTACAGAAAGACAAAATGTTACTACTGAATTGTTAATGCTTTCTCCCTACCCCCTTCCCCACCCCCACCCCAATTCTCCGGCACTCTCAGAATATATCTTTGTTCACCTCCTCCTCTAAAGGCAGGCAGACAGCACAGCTTACACAGAGCTGAACAGAAATGGATGTTCCTATAGGCATGTGGAAGTTGATACCCCCTTTCTTTAGAAGTACCTTTGTTTGCCTCCTTCTTTAAAGACAGCTCAGCTTACACAGAGCTGAACAGAGAGAAATGCCCCAATTGCATTGTGGGAGCTGAATTTCTACCCGGTTCAGAAGCAAAAGACTGACTATGAACAGAATATAATTGATGAACACTTCCACAAATGCCTGATTGTCAGACACATGGGGACCCAATAAAAAGTGTTTGTCAATTGTTCCTGAAATCACGCCCGGGTAATACTATATGGATAGACACAGGATTCAGCATTTGCAACTCATCTTTAGATCAACAGGCCACTGGCTGATGTATGCAAAGCGACATTCTGCATCAAGAATTCCGTGTGGATATTGTGGCTCGGTGTAACAATTACCGTGATGTGAAATTCCTGGAATGGCGCATAGAGGGCGAGGATGGCGAATGTAAATGCGGAACCCAATCTCAGTAAACGGTTGTAGACTGTGATTTGCATACGAAGTCTGAGTTTTGTGTTTCATCGAAGTTATGTAACACGCTGCACAGTAATAACTGGCACATCTGGTTTGTATCCATACATAGTAACCGAATATTGCAGATTAAATGTATATTAAGCATGCAGATTTCAATGATTTGTGACTTACAGCAATGTCAACAGACTTAAAGCAGAATTCCACCTTACAATTCTGGAAGGATGAATGTGATATAAACCCAACTAACATAAGTACATTTTGTAAAGTGCGGTGCAAGCTGTTGGCACTATATAAATCCTGAATGATAATAATAATTATTATTGTTATTAATATTATTATTCTTAGAGCCCTCTCCAAATTGCCTTCTTTGGTGCAAAAAATAAAAATGCTTATTGTCAGTATTGTAAAGTGGAAGTGAAGCCAAAACGTTTTTAGTAATTTTGCATAGCGTACGTGAGGCTTATTTTTCCCCATCTGCATCCCATCCTGTTCCCTTTACTTCCTGTCTGATGGCCACCACAGGAAGTGAGATCCCTCTATAAAGTGAGGGAAATACCTGGTGGGCAGCAGAACTAGTTTCCCCCATTGAAAGATTTATCATCTATTCTTGTTCCGGTGGCAGGAACAAGCCTGCTACCACACAGGGGGATTTTCGGTGCATGCTAAAGGGGGATGGGTGGCGGTTGTTGCACTCAAAACGACGGGGGCTAGATTGGTTGTTAGTGCGCGGCCACGGGCTGGCATCCTGCCCAAGACCCAGGACGCGGCACTGGCTGGCGTCCTGTATCTCTGCTTAGCCAGTTCTGAGATTTGCACAGCTCTGCTACTCAGAACAGTCCTGTCTAGCCTGATTATTGCCTACTGCAGTTGAGTTAAACTAGCAGGTCTTGTACCTCCCCCAGCCTGTGACTGCACAGTAAAAGGAAAAGCAGAAGACTGATAAGCTCTGTCACTGCTCTCTGCTGCTATCAACACGTTCCTTGTTTGCACAGCTTGGCGGTGGGCTTTGATGCGGCGCCAACTCCATGGTCACTGTTCATGATCGGCAGGGCTCCTAACCACTGTGACAGCCAATCAAGAGATCACATGACCAGGAAGCCCATGTAATGCCTTTGGCGTAACAACATTTTAAAGGGGCAGCTCTACCTCAAATTCAGCTTTAATCTACTGCTATCTACTGCTAAGCAAACATCAAAAGGGTTTAGCTTTTTGAGACTCACTTTTCTGTCCTAAAAGCTTCCACCCGTCCTAGGCTGCAGCCAGGGAAACCCAGATATGACGACTCTTTAGTAGAGACCCCACACTGTCTTACATGGATCTGTCTGCTGTATAAAATGCTGGAACACACACGCTGCAGCAGAGTGAGTGGAAGACCATAAGGCCTGAGGGTTCCACACATCATAAACCTGCCTGCCTTCTGGGTGGGTTTGCCTTTTTTTTTTTTCATCGCAGGTTAAAAACTGCCTTCAATTCTACTGACTTGCAAAGCAATGCGCAGCCTCGGAACTGTGCAGTCAGCATTTTAAACTATTACAAGCTACCTCCTGAACCATTGCCAAGTTAATAGACAATGAAAGATAATGAGCTTGAAATTGGGTGTTAAATTGCATTTTTTTCCGTTCCTATCTCTATTTTTCCCCATGCTTTAACTGTTTCCTACAGATGCGCTATGTCGTTCTGCATCGGGCACACATCATCAAAATATCCGGGGAAACCAAAATCCTCCTTTTCCACCCACCACCTCTATCACAGCCTCCCCGCAGCACAGACAGGGTTAAACCTCCCTTGCCTCGTCATGACAGCTGTAATAAGCACAATGTGTTTGGTTTAATCTAAAACACTGTCTTTTTCTTTTTTTGCTGTTAAGACAAAGGCGATGAACGTCAAACATCAACATTTGTTTCAATGCTAGTAAAAGAAAAAAAAAGGTCATTTTTTTTTCAATATCAACTAAAAAAAAACAAAAAAAAAAACATACAAAATAAAAACTAAGAAGGAATAAAGTAAAAAAAAAAATACAGAAAATTTATATTTCATAAAAAAAGGAAAGAAAAAAGGTTATCCAGTACAGTTGCCTGAAATGCTTTATTTTTATTGTAATGTTGTAATGCAACCTTGTAATGTTGAAGGGCATCAAAGGACACAAGGATTTTAATTCCCGCGGTAATGTCTATAGAAAACGCCAAAAATATATTCCACACCTGATAACAATCACCTGCTTTTCTCTCTTCTTTTTTTTATGCTTAAATAATATCCTAATAGTCATGTGAGCTTATCTTCATTAGTCTAATTGTAAGGGATCCCTTTCAACTTTCCCTTAAAGCTAATGAGCTGCATTAATCCAGGTTCATTTTTATAAGCCTCGTGGGTCCAAAAGTACAGGACAGTCATTTCAGAAAGGCAATAAATTAAAAAGGAAGCAGGGGCGCCTCAAGTGTAAGTCTACCATCAGACCTATGGTAATACAACCGCCGTGTAGTTCAATTAATCCTTGTTAGCATAACAACTAATATCCCGGAATAACAAAATGCTTTACAAAGTAAGTATACTAATTATGCAGCCTCTCTCTCTTTTATTCTTTTTTTTTACTTTTGCAATTTAATCAGTGTGATTTTTAAAAAAAAATCTTTTTTATACATCTTTAAAAATTGTTTGGGGGCAGTACCTGAAACCGATGGCTCCGTACGAGATGGGGCCTTTTGCAGAAATTCTGTAGCCTTTTTGAGAGCTGTTCAGGTGTCGAATACAGATATTCCGCTGCAGGAAAAACAGATACATTTTTAATGAAACAAAAACCTCAAAGCACACACTCGATATTAGTCACTTTACTAATTAAAAATGCATATTGCTCTGTGCCGTCTTGTGTTTTACATTATTTAAGCCTGATTTTCTAAGCTTACCTTTTGCTCACGATGATGTTTAATGTTAAATAAGAGAGTACGCGTTCTGTTTAGACATCTCCTTGGGGGTGAATAAAATGCATTATTCTAATGTAACACAATGTAAGGGAAGAGATACTTAGTCAAAGTAGAGAGCAGCAAAACTACTACAAGTCTTTTTTTTATTTTATTATTTTTGGTACAATGACCTCATCACTCATATATTTATTTCTACAATCTGCAATGCTAGTCTATACATACCAGAGCTGTCGTTTATAGATGTCTATATTTCTCTGCAAATTCAGTTTGTGTGGATTTAAACTCATTTTAGAAAACAACAGAATGCATAACAAATAGAAAATAAATATCATCTTATAGAAGGACCCCAAACATCAGTATATATATACATATATATATATATTTATTATTCATTCATTATGAGGTGTGTTTCCTAAAGTTATGTCAATCTGCCACCATGCTGCAAAAAAATCCAGTGAAATTACCAAGGGGTAGTTCAGTAATGACTGAGATTGGCCTGCATTTAAAAAAAATGTGAAGATAAGTCACCAGCTATCCAAAATGCTAAGAAAATATTGTTTATTGCGAATAACATCATATATGCCAAAACAACCAACGTTTCGGGATCGCATAGGTTTCCTTGCTCAAGGTGACACGGTTTCTGTGTGCCAAGAAGGCAATAGGAGATTGGAACCCGCTTTACAGTCTAAGACACGTGAGTGCATAACATATCCTAGTATGCATTACAATGTATTGGTGAAGTCTGAAACATGGAAGCTGCCATGGTTCATGTATTTTAAAGCCTGTCTCTGGGGGATCCCCAGGTCAGTGACTCACTATGACCATGATGACAGGATGGGGATGACAGCCCCGAACCCTGCACCTTGAAAACAAGTATGTAATGGCAGCTTCCCTTTAAAATGTCCGTATTTACATAAAGGTAACCAAACACAGACCATTTTTTGTATATATGCCAACCAAATATCAAAAATAACGGTCTGTAAGCAATCAAAAAATGGAATATTGTTCTAAATGATTTCACAAGATATTGGAAGCTTGTTCTGCACACGTGGCCCTATTTCAATTGCTTTTTAAGAAATCTAAGCGATCATTTCGTAGCTTTATTGTGTCTGTGCACACCCCCCCCCCCCTCAAGAAAGCTGACTGACAAAGCATAGACACAAAAGGGGAAGCCCAAATTGCATTATGGGAACTGAACTTTTTTCCTGGTTCAGATCATGATAGGGTAAGTACGGGCTGCATACAAAATAAACCCATTCCTTTGTGTTAGACAGAGAAATAGAACACAATACAAATGAGTGCATTTTCCCGATATGGAAAACACATTTATTTGATTTAAAGGTGTACAGAATAAAACGTCTGTAAAGTTCTGTAGTCACATTAAAAATGGCCTAGGTGGGAGAACAATTATAATCTGGCTCTAAGAATCGTCCATAGGGCCAGATGTTAATTGGCCCCATGAGACGATTCACAGAGCATGTTAATACATTTTTTATTTTTTTATTTGAATGGGCCCTTAATAAGCCCAAAAAAATGTATGTGCACCTCTTGGCTCATTCTCATACATGGTTAGCAGTGAGCCGAAATGTAGGTGCGTTGGTTGACACTGTATATGTGCGCTAGGGTCAATTTATCAAAACTGAAGCAGACAAAATCTGGAGCAGATTTGCACGGTAACCAATCAGCTTCTCTCTTTCATTTTCAAATCCCAACTGAGCAAACTGAAGAGAGATGCTAATTGGTTGCTATGCAAATCTGCTCTAGATTTTGTCTGCTTCAGTTTTCATCAATTCCCCCCAATATGTATACAGCTCTTTCTGGTGTGTTGCAGTAAGATGCAATGGAACACACCAATTGAGGGCCCATTCACACTCCATTCATTGGGCTGCATTGGGCCTGTGATGAGCAATGTAGGTTTAACACATTGGTAGGTTTAAACCCTTTCATTCCTATAGGCTCAGTGCACACCAAGATGGAGCTCGCTGGGTCAAAACAGAGCATGCTGCATTTAAATGGAGCACAATGCCCTGCAACGCTTTACAATGGATCACAAGACGCTATAGCATGTATAAAAGATAAATATTTTGGCTCCTGCTGAAACAAAAAATACACATCAATGCAATGCAACATGATAAAAAAGGCATGCCAATTCAAATGCATTTACAGCACTGAACGCAATGTGTGGCGTTCACGAGAATGCTGAAAAATAGCCAATTATTGCACTTTCTAAGCTCCTTTAAAGTGTGCATCTATAAAACACAATTGTGCATTTTTTAATATAAGTTGTAATAAAAAATTCACAAAGCCATAT